GACAGCAACTTGTCTGTTCCCCTTCCCCCAATTCCCCAGCACTGTCCCCATCCCCCAACACCCCAATAAAAATATTTTAAAATATATATATATATGTATATACTGTAAAAAGCACCTAGTCTCTTCCATTGTAAGACAAAAATAAGCAAACATTATTTGATTTTTAAATTTCTAATTACTTCTGCCACTTGTGCAGAAGACTTACTTGATTTCCTGCCCATTGGTAGTTATATTTGCCATTCTGTAGTTATAACCATAGAGAGCTGGTTCCTTTAACAAATGGGCACTTCTACAAAGATGGACTCCAACTCAAATACCTACATGGATAACTTGCATTATATCCATGTCTTTTAAATACCATGTTACCATAGGTTATGTTTTCCCTTCCAAAAAAATCTATATCTCTATTATATATAAGCTTGTTAGTTGATTTCTAAACAATTCCCCATTAGCAATAATTTCCAAAATTTTCTAAATTCTTAACATTTGTATTCTTTTTAAAATAAATGATATATGACTTAAAATTGCTTCTACCCATGTATATTTATAACACCAAAATGTCAGTTGAGGATCTCTGATCAAGTGTGTTGCAAAGACAGAAATTAAGACTAGAGAGCAATGGATATATTATCTGATCACAAAGCTAATACAAATGTCAAGTTCATTGCTGAAGTAGGGCGACTTTCCTCAGTTAACTTCAGACAATAAGTTAACCTTATTATAGGACATCTTATAAATACATTCTTAGGCACATTTTCCTGGAACATCTTTCTGTAAGGAGTAGGAGGCAAATAAAGAGAGTACATGTTTCATTGTAGGACATGGTTGAAATATCAAATTTATTTTTGAATCTCTTTTTATCTCCAGCACAAGTAAATATTGGGTTGTCGGAAAAGTCATGACGCATTTTTGCAATGAAAAACAAAAAAGATACGCCATGACTTTTCTGACAGCCCAATAAAACGAGTGAAATGGTGTAGATAAGGAAAATTCCAGATAGCCTATTTAACTTTGCAAAGGGTTCAGGGTTCCAGACAGTTCTATGAAATAGAGTGGATGGTGTTACCCAAGCCAGAAGCTTGGAAATCATCCAGGTCACCCTCAAAATTGAATCCAGCACCAAGTCCTATAGATATTTTTTCCTAAACATCTCTCTAATCGGTGCTCTCCTGTTTATCCCTACTATCACTGTCCTAGGTCGGCTCTTCATGAGTACCCGCCTATCTGCTTACAAGAACTTCCTAACAAGTTTTTCTTGCCTCTAGTCTTCAACTCCTCAGACCCATCTTCCATAGAAGATCCAAAAATAACATCTGATCACATCATTACTTGCCTAAGACCTTCCAATGTCTTCCAATTACTGAAGTTCAAACTCCTCACCAGAGCATCCAAGATCATTCAAAGTCTGCCTCCCCCTGTAGCTTCATCCCTTGTCATGCCCCCTCAAACCTTACAGTCTAGCAACAGTGAGCTATCTTGAGATCTCCGGAGACACAGCGTCCTTTCCTCGCTTCCATACCCTTGCTCAAGTTCTCTCCTCTGTCAGAGTACCCTCCTCGCCTCCCTTCTCCCACTTCCTTTATTCCGGCCAAGGATTCAGGACCCCTTTTGACCCAGCTTAGGAGCAACTCTAGAGGATGTGCTCCCCAAACGCCCTTGCCGTTCCACGAGTGCCCTCTCAGTAGCCCTTGCTCCCCTGACCATCTCTATCGTGCGCTCACCACATCATTGGTCCACGTGTTTGTCTTTCTCACTGGATCAAAAGCTCCTTAAGGGCGGGGACCGGTAGTCACCGAAGCACGTGCTCAATAAACGTTTTTAATGAATAAGAGCATAAATGTGATATGAGATGACATGGAAAAACCATAATTATACTAAAACCATACCGAGAAATGCGGACTGATTTATCTGTCTCTAGCAAGAGTACTAGCCAAGTTTTTTTTTTTTTAATTTTTCCCAGGACATCTACTAAAGGCAAAACTTTTCTTTCCCAGTCTAGGAAACGGGGAAAGAGACGATAAATGCAGCAGCATGAAAATAGTTTAAAATGAACAAGTGTGTCGCTGTAGGACCAATCCAAGGTGCTTGATGTCTCCACATAAAAGAGTACAAGTGGATAAAACAGCCCTTTCTTGGCTTTGCTTCCAGCAGGACCAGAATATTGAAAAGAGCTTTGCTAAAGGATAGTAAAAAAGTATTTTCCGTCACGTACCGTTATTCTAGAGCCTGGCTTAGTTTATTCACCGCTAACAAATGAAGCAGAAGGTGCCAACTCAGTAAGTCTGTGTGATTCTCAAATCCCCCGCAGTGACTGGGAGGAGGCGCACGCCTCGGGCGGGACCTGTCCTTCCAAGCCCCCGTCTCCCTCTGCGTCAGGACAGCTCGTAACACGCTACCCGTAAATAACCATCCTAGACATGGAAAATGGCCTTCATTTTCTCATGGTACTTGCCTAGCCACAGAGTCTGGCCTAGTTTTCTCCCGTCCCGACAGTGTCAATATGACTGAACATAACAATCTTCATCGTTATGGAAGAGCTGCATACAGCCAAACCTCTCTGGCCCCACGTTGCTGCTTCTCTTTCCAGCTCCCCTGCAGCCGACTGATCGCCCTCCTGCCTCCGCGTTTGGACTCGCTACTCCCTCTTGCAACGTCCGTCCTCCCGGGACATCCGAATGGCCGTCCCCACCCATCTCCTTCGTGTCTTACTCACAGGTCGCCTTCTACCTGTGACGGCCTCTCCCAACACTCCCTGTCTCCAAAGCGCCTAGCACCACCTACCATACTAATATTTTGCTCCTTTATTTGTCTCCCAGGCCCCAAAGTAAAACGTAGGCCCCATGAGGGCCGGGAGCGGTGTTTGCTCAATGCTCCGTGACTGAGGCCTAGAGAAGCTCCCGCACACAGCGGGTACCTAACAAATGTGTCAATCAAAGCTTCCGCTCCACGCCACGCGGCAGCACGTTCCAGTCAGGGGCACTTGGGCCACCGCAGGACTTTCAGGGGAACACAAAGGGTGGGCTTGCGCACCGGGCTTTGGTGCCTGCGGCTCCCCAGCGGCCATGCAACGTGGATGCAGCTTTCCGGCGAGGACCACGAGAGCCTCGGGGCCGGGCCCCACCGGTGCCAACCCCAGCTCTTCTCTCACCGAGCGGCGGGGCCGCCCAGCTGCTGTCAGCGGTGCCAGTGCTGCCGAAGAAAGCTGAGACGCGTGGGGGATGCTGGGAGCGCCCTGGGCATGCTGGGATTGCAGGGCATGCCGGGAGCACGTGGTGTGCGGGGCATGCTGGGAGTGGGGTCGGCCGGTGGTGAGGAGATCGCCGAGGGAGAGCGGACCAGCGGGCACAGATCGATCCCTCAGAGGTGAGGCCGGGCCAGAGGCAGCCGGGTGAGGGAGCGAGGTAGGTCACACTGCAGGTCCCGCCATCACCCCGCAGCCTCCTCGCCGACAGGGAGAAGGCCCTGCGTCCGCCTCAGGAGGCGACGTCTTTGAGGACATTGCTTTTACAGTTAAAAAAAAACCAAAACATTTTACAGGTTCCTTTTACTACTGTCAGGAAGCCGTGCGAGTAGGGAAGGGGCTGGCAGGGCGCCCCCGCCAGCGCCCCGGGACCCTCGCGCGCGGCTCTGAGAGGGATGAGCTGGGAATGCGCATGTGCGTGCGGGCGCGCTGGCGGTCGCTGTTGGAGCGCGAGGAGCGAAGCACGGAGGCCCTCAGGGCCCAAGGCTTAGGGCACCTTATTTTATCAGAACTTTATAGAATCACCCTTTAAACAGTATTTAAGCTCAAAAACAAAAACCTTGGGGATGGTCCCACCCAATTCCATTGCTGTAGGTCAGACAGGCCCAGAGAGAGGGAAAGACCACAGCGGGCGCCCGGGGAGCCCACGGGAAGTCTGACTTCCGGCCCGTGACCCCCGCCCTCCTCCCCCGGGTCCGCACGGAGGAGGAAGTGAAGGCGGCTCCCGGGGGACCGCAGGCTGCTCAGACTCAGCGGCTTCGGGGCGGGGCGCTCACGCCCAAGTCCGTTCTCTTTGGGTTCTTGGAGGCCTCGGACGTGTAGTTTGGGGGGTTCCTGTTGCTCACACGCACCCCGGGGACAGAAGTGGGGTGGAGCGATTCTCGGAACAGTGTGTTGCTAATTAATTCATCCGTATATATTAATGAAGCTTTGGCCCGGGTGTTGAGCCTTACAGTGCTGCTCTTCCGCAACCTAGGAAAAGAAGACAAACTTGTAATCTGAGAATTTTGCTGATCATGAGCCTAAAAAAAAAACAAAAACGTTAAAGGTAATTCTAAACAATCAAAGTAAATCAGTTCTTGCTTGTTCCATTGAACAGATCAGTGTCGTTTACCTACAATCTTCTGATCGGCCTTTGAAGATTGACAAAAGAAGGGGAGGACCTTCTACAGGAGATTTTGGTAACTCGGCTACAAGATGTTTAAAGGAGAAATGAGATGGAAAGTGATTTTAGTGGGAAATGTGTTTTAGAAATGAAAGGAATATGGCAAATTTTCGCCCACGTCTTTGACCTGTTTTCTTTAAAATGCACACAATTTTACCTCTGGATCCAAGGCATAATCATAATATACAGCATAATTCTGTGCTGTATCTTTTGCCTCACTCATTATTGATGTCCTTTTCTAAAATGCTTTCAGAGCAAGTGAATTTTAGGTAAAATTCACAGTAGGTTGTGTTTGCCTTGGAAGCATTCATTTGTACTTCATTTTTTTTTTTAACTTGTCACAACAGTAAGCATTTAGATAGGAGAGAGGGCGGAAAAGCAGAGAGACGGAAGGAATATTTTTGTTGATGATGATATCAGAAATCATCTTGATTTGGCCATTAACACCTCGTGTGAATTACTTTGTGTTAACCATTCTAAGAGTACTTCCACTTTTAGAAGAACCAGGTGATCTCTAAGGAAAATGTCAAGTGCAGCGGTTCTTGAGTGAAGAGGATGTGTTGGGCTGAAAGGGCATCGCCGGCCGTCCTCAAATGGCACCATAAAGGCATTTGGTTTCTGAGACCAGATTTAAGGCGAGGCGCACTCCAGATTCCTGAGCTCATGTGTGATTACTTTTCTGCTCAAAGAGAGGAAATATGTTGATGCTAAAAAGTTTGAAGTGCTAGAACCGGTTTTCTTCTCCTGATGTATTTGTGCACATTACAGAAGTTGAGCTTAAATTGGTTACTGAAATTATATATACGTTTCAAGTGTACATTTCTCTAAAGCATCATTTATAGATTGTATTGTGTGTTCACCACCCGGGCAGTTCTTCCATCACCCGCTTCCCTCTTCTACCACCCCCTCCCCGCTTACCCTCTGGTAGGTAACCAGTAAACTGTTGTCTGTGCCTGTCAGTTTTTCTTGGTTTAATTGTCTTGTTCCTTTGTTGCTTTCAGTTTTATATTCCACCTATGAGTGAAGCCATATGGTTCTTGACTTTTTCTGTCTGACTTATTTTGCTTTTACATTCCAGGTTTTTTAAGTAATATATTAGATAGACTTCAAAGGTATGCCCTATGAATTATCAACTGTAAAATGTGTCCCATATAGACGTTTTAAAGCCAGATAATTAGTGGAAAAGAAAACTAGATAACAATTTAGAAATCTCAGTAAACATTTTCTTTCATATAAAATGATGAAAAATCTATTATTTAACTTTTAAGTACTTTGTAGAGATACCCTGAGAGAATAGAAGACTTTGCTATGTATTCTGATTTTTTTTATTGTCCTAGGAAAGATTTTGTTTTCCTGAAAACAAAAGTACACTTAAGAACAGCCAGGGATTTTAGAAGGAATTCATTAAAAAAAAAAAAAAAGACAATATGGTAGAAATGTATCTAGTCGCTAGAGCAGAGTAGGCATTTAATAAACATGTTGGGGTTTTTGTATTATATATGCTCAATTTATACTCAAATTATTATATTTGTGATATAAAACTGCAGGTCTAAAGTTCTAAATGCTCTCTTTGGGGTAATTAAAGTGTTTTAAAATGTATTGTAATGGTTGTATAACTGTGAATATAGTAAAAACCATTTAATTGTACACTTTGAATTGTATGTTATGTGAATCATGTCTTAGTAAAACATGTACCAAAAGAATTCTAGATTATCTCTACGCAACCTTAAAGGTAAAATGTCAGTGATATTTCACTGCTGAAGTTTGCTAACTAATTTGTTAGTATCTTATTTCAACACAATAGCAAGTGTTCTGTGATGAGTTGGTTTTGAAACCCTATTGATAAGATAATTTACTACCTTTTCATTGCTGTTTGTTTGCTTCTTTGTTTTTAAAGGCCTGAGACACTCATTCAGTCAACAGGAAAACATGAATGGTTCTAGGCAGCCGTCACTCTTCTTCATCACACTTCCAGATCTACACAAACTCTGTGCTGTCAGGATAATATTGAGTAATGAGGTGGCAGATGCTGAGATGAGGAGTGCACAAATGAAGATGTGCAGGTAAAAAGTACATTTTATAACTAACACTTTCTAAACTTTTTGAGACCTATAAGAGCTGTTTTAGAAGTACGTCCTTTAGGGGCCAGCCAAGTGGCTCAGCTGGTTAAGAGCACGAGCTCTGAGTAACAGGGTCACTGGTTCGATTCCCACATGGGTCAGCGAGCTGCACCCGAGCTGAGCTGCCTCTGAGATGACAACAGGTGGCAGGATGACACAGCTGGTGAGAGCACGTGCTCCTAACAACAAGGTTGCTGGTTCGACTCCCGCATGGGATGGTGGGCTACACCACCCACAACTAAGATTGAATGCAGCACCTTGAGCTGAGTGGCCACAAGCTGCCGACGGGCAGCCGGATGGCGACTGTACTTGGAGCTGAGCTAGCTGCACCCTCCACAACCAAGATTGAAAGACGACAACTTGGCTGGTCCCCAATTCCCCAATAAAATCTTTTTTTAAAAAAAGTATCTCCTTTAAAGCATAATACTCATTGACTTAATCTGTGTATATAATTTTAAAATAAATTCAGTTTTGTTCTGAACAGGTATATAGGATTACATTTAGGGAAGAACTTAAAATACATGAGATAGAATATCTCACTGTTGAGCTTTTATATATTTGTGGCTTCTTGTGTGATCTTTTTAATTTAAAATTTTTATAGACATTCCTGAAATAAATCAGACTCCCCAAAACTTAGAAATCGTACTTAATAATAAATATTTACTGAGTACCCACTGTTTATGAGGCACTTTAACAGGTACTGTAAACATTTTAGATTAATATAATTTAATTTTCAGATCAGTATGAGTGTTTCTGAAAAGTAATTCTCCAACAACTATCTTTAAACATCTAACCCAAGATAGTCTTTGAAAAACAGCTTTGTTGAAGCCTCAAGTATAACTCTGTGATTACTAAGGACTCACCACATATTAGTCCCTTAAATTATTTGAGGCACTCAAAAAAAGACTCTCAAAATACGTGGCAAGAGCAAATCTGTAACTGAATTTCTTAGAGAGGAACAAACACTTAGAAGATTGCCAGGGGTCCGAAATAAGAAAGACGCTCTTTGGGCTGTCCTCTATTTTGCTCTTACTCATAAAACTTTTCTTCCCGTTGTATATTTTCCTACTCATGTGCATCCAGGAGTCTGTACCCTTCCTGCTGAGGTATAATTTGATGCCTGTTGAGCATTTACCTGGGACCCTTTTTAGGAAGCAAATAGGTAGAAAATTGTATGTGAGATTTTCTGCTGTTTGCCCTCAAATTGTACGGGGCCATGCCCACAGAATAGGGTGTTTTGACTCATCTTCCCAGTGACTGACAGAGAGGCTGGGACAGAGAAAGCAGAGCTGGCTTTCAGACAAAGGCCCGTCTTGCAAAAGTAAAAACCTGCGGTTACCAGCATTCTAGCAAAGATAAGGCCACCAGAAACGAGTTATCTCATCTTACTTTTTGAGACACTCCCATCCCCCACCCGCCCCACACACACATTTTTTGGTGGGTTTTTTTTTTAATTTGCTTGATGATTAGTAATTTTGAAATTTTTCATATTTCCAGCCGTATTCCCTTTTGTGTTTTTTCCGCCTTTTCCTTGACCTGTGAAGCAAAGTTAAGTCATTTGAATTGTGATGATTTCTGTTGAAAGTTCATTTGGCTGTTGAATACTAAAGTAAAACCCCTACTCACATCAAAAATTTAGAAAAAAATTTATTTTTGAAAGAAAAGAATCCAGTCAATAGTTCTAACGTTGAAGTAGTTGATAACTTTACTGATAGTTGAACCCTTAGACTGTGCCTCCAGTGCCCCTGACCACCACTTAAAAAAAAAAAAAGGAAAATGGAAGAAACAGGAATTAAAAGAGTTGGATTCTTCAGTGTTAAGACTTCTCCAAGCATATACGGAGCACAGAAATGAAGTTTTAAAGGAGGAATTTAGGTTCACAGATGAAAGGAACTTTCTAATTAAAACTTTATAATTCTCTTCATTCAAATCTTGGCTAAGTGCCTGCCGTGTTCAAAGTACCATGCTAAGTGTGGGGAGGCATAGAAACCTATAACACAGTCTCTGCCTAGAAGAAACTTAAACTTTTGATTGGAATCAAGCGATTTTTAAATGTTCCAATAAAGTTAAAACAGTGGGCAAATCCACTTTAAAATTAATACATTTCATCTCCACAGGCAATTGCTGCTTTTGCACCAAGATATTCTTACATCACCTGTGCTTGGAATATTTAACCAAATTTGGGTGGTGATGGCGGTTAGTATTTTAACATTTTATAAAGTATTATTACTAATTATTTGGGGCAATGTTGATAAACAGTAATTCTGGTATTAATTATAGCTCAAATTGAAGCTGGTTATAAAGACCAATTACACTGTGTTGTAGTTTTATTGAACCATTAACGGACTTGAACTTTGATATACCTGATGTTTAAAATCCATTTTTGTGGTTCTAATTTCATATTTAGTTTTCTCTGTCATAAATGTTAAGATAAAAACTACTAATGAATAAAATATATTACCGCATAACTTTTTAAGATAGCGCAGGCTTAATTCTTTTCTCACATTTTATTCTTTAGAATTACACGTAATATAAAGAAAGAAGTTTCTCATTCCAACAAATCTCTGATTGTGTTTAAAGAACTTAGATCAACTTTTTTTTAATTTGGAAACTTGATTAAAAAAATTTTTTTACACTTAGTACAATTAGAACAAGAAACATGTTTCCCAGTGCTGTATATAACGGGGAATGATAATGGAGTGCCAAAAATCTTCATAAAAATCATACTATCCTGAGATTTTTATCAAAAATATTTCTGAAAATCTTCTTACTCTGAGATTTTAATTCCCCAGAAGCCAGTGAAACCAACACTTATTAACAGTGCTGATAAGCCATACAAAATTTTCAAGTCTTTTGTTTTTCTTCTAGGTTATATGGATATGTCCAACCTTTTCTTCTCAGCCTTTGTATAGTTTTTAAGGAAGAAAAGCTGTTGGTGAACAAGTAGCTAATACTTCTTATCTGTGTTCTTTTCTACCTGAAAATTTTGTGGAACAAGGAGGAAATTGTTTTAGAGTTGTAGTAAATTCAAATATCCTAACCTTAGCAAAAACAATAAGAGAATAGCTATCTAAAAATACGTTTTGCTTTATTAGAAGTATATTATATGCTGTAAAAAAAAATTTACAAAAATATTTAAAGTAGAAAATGGGATTATTATATGTACTGTTGAAACTTTCCTTTCATTTCCCCTTTAACAGCCTCTCCTGGATATTGTTCCATGTTAGTACATATATCTTCCTTAATTTTAAGGCTGTGAAATACTTCATTGGATGGGTATAAAATAATTTAATTATCACTTTCTAATGCACATCTGAGTTTCTAATTTTGTGCTATTACAAACAAACAATGCTTCAGAAAGTGTCATTAAAATTCTGTCATTTTCATTTTCATTTGTCTGGTAGTTTCTATGGGTTAAATTCTTAGAAGTGGGATTGCAGCACATTTTAGCTAGAATCTAGATACTGTGAAATTGCTCTCTGTAAAGCTGTACTAGATTATATGTTAACAAATAGTGTATGAAAAAAAGTTTACAAAAGAACTTACATTTCCACCTTCTCACAAATACTGGATATTTGCAGCCTTACATACCTGCCTTTCTGTTAGGTGAAAAAGAGCATCTTCTTTTAAGTTTTCTTTCTTTCCCTGGTGAGTTGGAGCTCCTTGGCTTTTGAACTTCCTCTTGCTCTTCCATTTGTGTCCATTTTCCTTCTTCACGTCTAAGAACTTACTGTATATTAAGAAAGGTGTTCAGTATTTATTGTATGAAGGTTATTGGCCTCTTCCTTCATATGTCACCCAGAAAGCCTTTCCTCACTTTGAGAACATACCCACAGGTTCTATTTCAGGGAAAGAATGGTCATCACTCGCTTCTCCCAGGCACAGAAGCTGTTAGGATGATAGCCTGACTCTGTGCCCTCTGCTGTATAATGTTAAAGTCTTTCATGTATTACTTTATTTAATAATATATTCATGCTAAGTCATTTTTATAAATGTGGATTTTTATTATAGATACCATTTTATAAAGCCGGAAAACTTAATGCATATATTGAAAAATATGGAGCTAAGGTAAGTTTTTTAAAAGAGAATTCCAGATGCTGTTTATATTGACTTAGTATTCAACTTCTTTTGTCAGCAAACAAAAATTGGAGTATTTTTCTCATAAGTCATTGCTATGCATGTGAAAGAACCCAACAGTTTTTTCCCAAACAATTATTGTATGTACATGCAGTAGAGACACAGGGGAAGAGGCTTAATTTGGGGGGAGGGGGTACTTTCTAACAGGCATTTTATGTGGCATAATGTTACTTACCACATATATCTTCCAAGAAGTTAATATTCCCACTTTTGCAGATGAAGAAAATGAAACCCAGAGAGAGAAAACTATTTTCCATAGCCGTGTAGCTAAGTATAGGAACAAAACCATATAGATTGCATTCTACATGGTGATGAGTTTCTGGATCTTAACAAGGACAATATGAGTACATGGGTTGAGCACCTCTCAGGTCTCAGTTACTCAGGCCGTGAAGACTTGGCTGCGGCTCAGTTCACGTCTGCATGTTCCTCTGGGGCACTGTACCGTGGTTATTCTAGCTGCCTGTTGAGACATCACTGCTGGCCTCTGTTCCTATTGGGTTGTTGGAAAAGTCATGATGCATTTTTGCAACGAAAAACATAGAAAAAATACATCATGACTTTTCCGACAACCCAATAGATCTGGTGGGGCTTGGGAGAATGAGGTCTCTGGTCATCTCCAAGATCTTTTCTTCAGGTTCTAGGAGGATGACAAGGTCTCAGCAAAACCCAGAGGTGCTTTTGCAGTTCCCTGAAAAATCTCTGAATAACCCAAAAGCTGGTTTCGGCCATCAGTCACAAGCTGCGGAAAAACAGTGTTCTTTAGAACAATGTGGAAGGATTTTAGTTAAATCTTTTTGCTGAGACAAGTCTGAACTATGAGAACCAAAGTCATTCACCTAGAACTAGAAGCTAGGTCTTCCAGTGATCCCTACAAAATCCTATCCTTTATTGTGGAAAGTATTTCATGGTTTAGTGGAGACCCCTTTGCTGTTTTCCTGGCCTGCTCTTGGAGAATTTAATCTTATTATTATATTGATGTAAAGGTCAAAATTGTATTGTTTTTGACATGTGTTACAAATAAAATAGATACAATACGATTTTAGAGATGAATTCTGAAGATCAAAGCTGTTATTTTCTGAGCGTAAGAATAGATAGCATTTCAATATTGAGTTAATAAAAGAATATACTGAATATATATATATATATATATATATAATTATGAGATTATAAGAGAAAAATGATTAAGAAACTTATCTCCCATAGTCCTTTTACACTAATGAAAACATGCTTTGTGGTGTATTTTCTTCAAGTCTTCTAACTCACACATTTGACTTTATCAGTGCAAGTTGTCCCATGTCCAAAATATTTAAACTATTTTGTTTATACTCTTATTCTTTCCCCCACTTATCCCAGTTCCTTATTGTTACTAAGTAAAGTTGCTATGTTCGCCTCACCAGTCACCCAGATTCAAAATAACCTTGTTATACATGAGCTTTCTTCCAGCCCGACTTTCCTACCCTCATTGGGCCTTCATGGTTATGCTCAACTTTTCTTTTTATGGATACTTTCTACAGTATAGTAACCATAAGCAGCAGATATTTATTGAACACCTATAATATGCTGAGTACTCTACTTGTTTCTGGAGTTAAAGCTGTGAACCAGAAAAGCTCCCTGCCCTCAGGAATCTTAGGGTAGGAAAAAATTTCCTCCTTTTCAAGTTTTTGGAGTTTGTGTAGAATTTTATTACTTCTTCTGTAAATGTGTAGTAAAATTCTCCAATAAAGTTATCTAGGCCTGGAGTTTTCCTTCAGGGAAGGTTTTTAACTACATTTCCATTTCTTTAATAGATAATAAAGCTATTCAAGTTACCTATTTTAAAGAATATGCCCATTTCATCTATGTTGTCAGATTTATTGGCATAAAGTTACTTGTAATATTCTCTTATTTTCCATAGCTGTAGAATCTGTAGTGATGTCACTTTTGTCATTTCAGATATTGGTAATGTGTCTTTTTTTTTTTTTCCCCTCTCCCTAATCAGTCTAGCTAGAGGCTTAACAGTTGTACTGATCTCAAATAACAAGCTTTTGGTTTCATTGCATTTTGGTCTTTATTATTTCCTTTCTTATGCTTATTTTGGGTTTAACTTGTTCTTTTTCTAGTTTCTTAAGGTGCACGCTGAGGTCATTGATTTGAGAACTTCCTTCTTTTCAATATAGATACATTTAGTGCTGTAATTTCCTCCTTAGCATATGTTTTGTTTGGATTTTCTTCAGTTCAAAATACTTTTAATTCCCTTTTGATTTTTTTCTGTGGTGTAGGGGTTAGTTACAAGTGTGTTATGTAGTTTCTACATATTTGGGGATTTTCCAGGGATCTTTCTGTTACTGATTTCTATTTTAATTGTGGCTAGAGAATATGTTTTGTATAACTTGTCTTTTCAGATTTACTGAGACTTGTTTTATGGCCCAGAATATGGTCTGTCTTCGTACTGTTTCTTGTCCACTTGAGAAGAATATGCATTCTGCTGTTGTTGTGTCAAGTAGTCCATAAATGTTAATTGGGTCACGTGCCTTGATCGTGTTGTTAAGCTACTGTGTTCTCACTTATTTTCTGTGGACCTGTTGTCTCAGTTATTGAGAAAATATGGTACAGAATTTGCCCCAACTTTAGCTGAAGTGATCAATTATACCTTCTTTGCCCTGGAAGGCCTCCAGATCACCAGTCAAGATGTTTATGAATGATGGAATTGCCCCAAACTTCCTGTTTGCATGTCAAGGCTGAGTGTGAACTGATAGTTCCTGCCGTGTAAAGGTTAATACCTTAGGTCACGGGGAAAGTCAACACAGAATCAAGGAGAAAGCCATTTGGCTTTCTAAGGTACAATAGATCCTGATAGTTAATGGGATTTGTCCAGCTGCTTGGGTCTGGGACTCAGGGGGGCGTGTTTGAGGTCAGCATTGCAGGTTGACCTCATCCTGCTACTTGGAGTACTATTGACGGCAGCCTTAATTAAATCCTCTGTGTGACAAATTGAACAGATTTGGTCCTGTCCCCTGCCAACAGATTAATTACTTGCATCCTTGGAAAATTCACCAAATACCAAAATGGTATGAAAATGCGGGGTGGGTAATATTGGGAGACAGCTCTCTTTGTCACTCTCACATTTCTACATGTCTTGCTAGTAGAGGCAGTGGCAGCATTTTCTTCTGGAAAGGATGTTTGTACAGCAAACAGCCTTGATTCTTTGCCAGCCCTGAATAGTTTCCTCCCAAGCATATGCTAATCCATGCTCAGCATATGCTAATCCATGCTCAGTTGAACACTCAGGATGGACTTGGCTCACATCAGGGTCTGCTCTCTCTGTGCAGCCCTGTCATCTCCAACGCTTTGCCCCCAAACGCCAGCTCCGTGTCCTTGCTGCACTCTCAGCTCTGTCTCCTCAATCCAGGGAGCCCACTGGCTCTTCCAGGGCTCCTTTCCCATCACTTAGGGGTCACTTTTCTTTGTTGCTTGATGTCCAGCGTCTTGTGAACCATTGTTTCATGTAACTTGCCCAGTTTTTAGTTGTTTCAAGAGGGACGATAAATCTGTATCCTCTTACTTTCATTGGTCAGAAGCAGAAGTCCTAATTTTTAAAAATTCTGTACAAGTAGAGATACTGTGCTGGTTGCATGTGTGCTCATGTAAGTGTTTTCATTGTTTTCTGATGTTGAACTGGACAGTGCAATAATGACAAATGTTACAATACCGTTCTGGTCCAGTTTCCTCTGTGTAGATCAGAACACGAAGTAAAGTTTAAGGCCTGGCCCAAGAGCACTAAAGGATGAGGTGTTCTGGGCCGGGAGGAGCAGGTGCAGCTTGGCTGTTAGAGCATGACAGCAGTCATGGCTCCAGAGTGAATAGACTGTAGCACTCCTTCAACTTTAGAATCAGATAGGGTCGGCTGTAGTGATGACTGTCACTTACATGGAGAACAGCCCAGTTTGATGGGTGGTGATCCAAACACACAGACATTTTCTATGAGTTTATAGGGACACACTGATTGCTGTCAATTTCGCTATATTTTGTCCCTTCGTGTTTTTAGGCGGAGGCTCCACAAAGAGTAATTCCTGCAATTCTTCAAAACTGCTTTTCATATTCGCTCACAGCTAGACTTGCTCCAGCCTGGAATAAAGCTGGCCATCTCTTGGTGCAAGGTGACTTTATCTCTGTCGGTCATTGCAGCTTTCTGTACTAGATTACCTGTTAGGTGCATCTGTTTTTAATTTCAAGGTATATTCTTTTTAGAGAACAGTTTTTAAAGCATGGCCCCAACCAAGCATTCTCAAGCACGCCCATGACAATAAGTGTCATTTCCTTACTTTGGGATTATATCTAGAGGCCTGCTGATGCTTCTTTAAACAAAATTTGTTTATTATATAATACTTGATTTTTAGAAGGAAGTAAATGTACATTATGGAGCATTATAATAAATTGCACACAAATCACCAATATTGTTGGAACCAAAAGACTATTTCAGTTTGGTGTTGAAGTCTGACCATTTTCTAAGTATTTATACCAGGAAATAAATATTTGAGGGAATAACTGTATTTCTGTCCTTTTAATCGAAGGGATACTTTTTGAGTGATTGTATGTTTTTCTCTGAGCTGTCATCAGGTATTTCTTTGTATAAAAATGCATTTTAAAGCATTTTCTTTAGCTTTGATAATTTCACATTTAAAAAGGTGATATTTATCAAGTATGATTTATGAGTTATAATAATATGGCATATCATATTAATTTTTTAAGGAAGAGAGTTTCTTTCTCAGAGGGGGAAGCAAAGTGCCGTTGGTAAGTAAAAATGTGTATGTCAGTAGATAAAACAGTAATATAATCAACAGTTAAAAAGACAACGTTACAGATTGTTGGATTGTTATAATCTTGATGACTAGGTTATATTGGAATTTAATCAGGTTATTATAATCACAGTTTCACCCAGGAAATCACCTCTGGCTCAAAATATATATTCTATCTGTAGGAGAAAAAAATTCACTTCTCTTACTTGGAATAAAAGCTGTATTTTTTATTTCTCCACTGAAAGAAAATGATGACTATGAAGGAGTTTAATTCTGCAGGCATTTATAATGTATAGTTTCCAGAACCATATCATCAAAAATTCTCTAGTAGTGTTGTAAAAGCTTTATTTCTTATGAGAACATGATTCTTATTCTCCTTAAAAAGTCTAAAGAGACACAGATAATCTCAAATACACAGTTTATGAAATGGTCTGATCTAATTCTTTCAATGATGTGCATGGCTGTATTGCAGGTAGACAAGTTCCTAAACAATATTCCGGAAATAGCAGATAGGTGGAAATCCTGAGTAGACATTACTAATCAATCATGGTTGCCCTCCCCACCATTTGGGCATAGCCTTAAGTCCTTGGCTGGCCTCTGAACCACGACTCTACCGTCTGAGTTGCTTTCCTTGCAATAGTTGTGTGTTGAACTTGGACAGAGTCCGTCATGGTACTGTGCTTGAGACGGATGGGTTCATTAACTAAATTTCATTTCATCCCACATACTACCGGGAGACTATAGCTGTCAGAGATGACAGTTAAGGAGAGCAAAATTCCTTACTTCTGTGTTAAAATTGTTGCTTTTAGTTTTACCAAATGTAATATTCTACAGCAAAACTGACAAACTGGAAGTGTATAGTTCATTGGATTTTCACAAACCAAACATATCTTTATAGCCAGTTCTTAGATCAAGAAACAACATTACCAGTACCCCAAAAGCCCCTCCTGCTTTCTTACAGGTATTACCCCTTCCCAAGATAACCACTTCCTGACTTGTATAAGTAATTTTAATTATGAGAAAGCAAGGTAGAAGCCTTGGGGCTCTGTGAGATCCAGGATATACCCGCCAGTATATTTGAGGGTATTTATTGGAAAAAAACCACTGAAGTCAGAATCATAGCATAGTACTTCTCCTGATTTAAGAAAGCAGTCTCCATTTTTCCCATAGAGTAGACGTCAGACTTGTAAAAGAGACTTGTGTTTTCCTCTCAAATGTGGGATGTCTCATTTGTCTTATTGTAACCTGCCCTGTGACATTGCCCCCAACACATACACACCCACATTCTGCGTTGTTGTCTTTTAGATGTCTTATCTGCAGACTGTCAAATATTATATAGTGATGGAATTTTACCATGTGGGAAAACTATCCATTCTTTACCGGGCTTCTAATTTGAATAAATTAAGTTAAAGTAATTTCTTTTGGGGAGTAATAATTCCAGAAAGCTTACAATTAAATATTTTATTTTCAGAATTAAACATCAATGTAACAGAAGCTCAAGTCTGCCTGAGTATAGAAGCTTTCACGATCCGACTGCCACCACCTGAGGTGCCACATATTTTGATTTCTGTGACTAACTTTACTACATTTACTATATACATAATAGATTTCTTATTATTACGAACATGTTAGTTTTAATTTTTAACAAGAAGATAAGATTTTTTTATTTTCAAAATTCATATTATTAAATTCTTGATATATTCATATTGTTCTGAACCTGTTTACCTGAAGAAAATATTCTTTCAATTTAACACACATGTAATCATATCATTCCCTTGCTCAAAAATATTTTTATTGGGTTGTCGAAAAAGTCATGACAGATGTTTGCGACAGATGGCGCTAGTTCATCTTTGGAAATATTAGAGTCATTCGCATCTATGTTATTGCTATGTCATTTGATAGCTGATGGTTCTAGCTTCATTCTAAAAAAATTGAGTGATTTGGTTAGTTAGCACACAGCAGGAGGGTTGTGTTGCTACTGGCATTTAATGGATAGAGGCCAGGGATGCTGCTAAATATCCTACAGGGCACAGGGCACAACACCAGCCCCACACAACAGACTTATGCAGCCCAACGTGTTACTAGTGTCCAGACTGAGAAACCCTGGGCATAGGTCAGATGGCTCTTCCCTTGCTCAGCGCCCTGACTGGCTGCACGTCCTGCTCATCATGCAAGGGCCCGCTCAAATGCTCCGCCATTCGTTTTGCTCTTTAGCGTTTTGATTATCTGTTTTGTCGAGTCAATAGATGAGTCACAGGTGAGCAGGATCTACCTTCTGGTCCTCAGGAATTATGTAAGCCAGGAGGAAGCTGACCTGTGTGTAAATAACTGGAGTGTGTGGCGTGATGTGAATACCTTGTACCAATGAGGGACCCTTCCCAAGAATCCAGACCCAGTATGATCTCCACCTGCCTTCAAACCTTCACACTGTTCCCCACCAGGCTGACATACGTCCTTGTGTTTCTGAAGGCACACTCCTCATTTTTACACCCCAGTTAACTTCATAGTGAGCTCCTTAAGGACTAATTATTGCACCTCACTGCCCCTTGAATTTTCTACAGATGATACTTCTGTTTTATATACCTGAGTTTTGAACAATTAGAGATTAACAAAGAGGAGTAAGACATACAGAGATCAGAATACCACCTTATTAATAGGGTGAGAATATAATTTATTCAAAATGGACACTTTTGAGAGTGAAAGGAGCACTAACCCAACAGGATACTGGTCCAATATGTATGAACTGGGAGATCCTAAAAATGAAATCAGATCCATTGAAGTTGGATGTAATAAGTGTTTGTACATAAAAGAACAGTTTGTGCACCCGGAGTCTTCAGACCAACAGTGCAATGAAGCTCAGGTGTGTTGTTCCAGGACCATTTATATAGCGAAAATGCAGGAGAGTTTTCCTCGTGATAATGCTTGGGCATAGCAGTGGGGTTTTCCAAATGACAGGGAATTGATTAAAAGTGATTTTATACAATTTTGGAAAACAATTTAAGTTTCCTTTGTGATTTCTGGAGGCATTTACAAAAACTAATCCAAGTTAAATTTTGCTTGCATTGTAGAATAAACTAGATTGGGTTTCACTTAACATGGCCTAACTGAGTTTCTCTGCATAAAGCATTTTTAAGTTTGGTCTCCATTTTATTTATTTCAACAGACATATGGTGACACTATTTATTACTGGAAAAGATAAACAACTATTGGAGAATGTGGCCTGTCTGAACCCTAGAATTAGGTAGATTGACCCACCCATGTATGACAGTAATGGGAACCCTCGGGCTGCCTGGGGAGATCAATACCATTCCCAACACGACAGAGAGAATGCGCGACACCACTTTTTGCTCGCATGCCAGCTCCCAATAGGAAGAGTAAGGAGCTGTCCCAATTTTACCAACCAGATAAGTCACCTCATCTGCCCAAGGGAGGGGCCCAATGACATCAGGAGAGTAGAGCTGTTTTCATGGGAGACAAACACCAGAAATGAGGGAGATGCACTCTCTTCTCTACTCAGCATTATACGCTCAATACATACTTGTCAATTCACTTAAATTGATTCCCTAAATTATAATTTGTTATCCAAATCTCACTTTACTTACATTTTTGATAGGGCATCTCTCACATCCCGACTGCTATAAAAATTGGTTCATATGTTCCTGTGAAACAGTACAAAATAGTAGTTTTGATTTGGAAGATAAGATAAGAATGAAATGCTTGATATACTGTATAGAGGAGAGACTGGCTGGGCTGAACCTTTGATTGTGGCAAGTGGGTGTGCATGGTCCAATGTAACTTAAGCCTTTAAAATTATAATTGTGTGTGTGTTTGCAACAAAAACAGTACGTATTTTTGAATGTTTCTTTTGTTTGCCAAATTGTTTTGAGGACTTATGCATTAAAATCTTCTATTAAAAGCTAAGAGAATTTGGTATTTCTCCGAGTATTCTGAAGGATTTTGACACTCACAAGAATGCTGTCATTGAGGGACATTCGATTTTAAACAACTGGTGCTATGTTTTGCCAAGGTGAGATTTCAATTTGTAGTATTGAGGGGAGGTTCAAGATATATTGGTTTTCTCTTATCTCACTTCAACATGGATATGTGCAGAAGTCTAAACCATTTTAGTGAATTTTTGAAAGTGAATTATGACTTAGAAAAAATATTGAAATAATATTGTCATATTTTCATAAGCCATCAATTTCCTTTATCAAATTAGTACTAAAATGAGTTTATTATACATTTACATTTTTATTAGATATAGCTTTTTAAAAGTAAAATTTCTAGATATCTCATGAAATTACAACCATTATAATACTCTTTTATATAATAAACTTATATAATTAATGATTCATTATCATTTGATAAGAGCTAAGTTTCAAGTTTGTATTATCTTCAGGGGAAAAAATTGCTTGTTATTAATATAAATAGTACTACTGGGATGAAATTTTAACCTGCTTTGCAAAAAAACAACTTTTAACTACCAAGCATATTCATATTAATTGAATCATTGAAGCAGGAAAGAGATAGATGGGGAACAAAGATTTCACTCCGATTCATTTAACTCTTAAACTTTTCCCTAAAGTCTAACAATTAGAAGGCATACCTCTGTGTGGCAACATTTTAGTAGTCATTATTCTGTATTTATAAATGGCATATTGTTTGCATCAATTCAACTTAGTTTTTCCTAACAATTCTAGTTAAGATTTAATACAATGTATATTTGGAACTAGGAGCAAATGATTAGCTTATTACTTACATGTAGATAGTTACTAGGTCTTTTTGAACACTTTCTAAATCACATAGTTAAACTGTAAGCATTAGCTCATAATATTTTACCAACTTTTATTTACACAGTATGAAAATGGGAAAGATAGTGGGTATTCTTCATACTACACCCCCTGACTGTCCTTTTCACTCGTATGAAGATTTCCAGATGCACTGGGATAACATGGTAAGTAACATAAATATATATTCTGTTAGGAGTTATTTGATTTTGCTTTTCATAATTTAACCTAAGTTTAGCTTTCCCTCAAGAGAATTTCAACTTTGTTCTTAATTTTTAGTATGGCTATAAACTTCCGGAAGATTGTGGAGATATTAAAATATACTGTAGCATCTACTTCAAAATGATAGGAGGGAGGACCTTCACATATCCTTTCCGCTCCACATGGAACAGACGCGCTCTGCCCACCCGTGACCCAGCCTTTTCTCCTGCCCCATGTGGTCATTTTCAGCCTTCTTTATGTCCGTGTGAAACTACGTTCCTCTCTACTTTTTATCTGCGTGAGTGTTTTTGTTTTGCTTAGAACTTGCCCATTTTTATTTGAGGATGAGTTTAATAATGACATTTTCCCCCTTAACGCTACTGCAACAACTTAGCAAAAGAAACTTTACAGTAGGTAGAAAAAATGTTGATATGATCCCTAGCAGAAAGTAAGGAAATTATCATAGGATTCTCCTTAGCCAAAGGCTCCCTCCGGTGGCATTGGATATTACGAAAGGGTGGAAGTAAAGAATTAGTGGTTTAACAAAGATTTTTCTTTTTGGAAGGTTATTTTATTTTACAGGCAAAATTGGGAGGATTTGACTTGCATTTAATGCACCCATTGATTTAGAAAATATCTTAACATTATTTTTTAAAATCTACACACAAAGGGTGGCTGGTTAGCTCAGTTGGTTAGAGTGTGGTGCTGATAACACCAAGGTTGCTGGTTCGATCCCCGCATGGACAACTGTGAGCAGCACCCTCCCTAAAAGAGTCAACTATGCTGTTGTAGTATGAAAGCAATGTGTAACCAATGACCATGACTGTTCCCCAATAAAATTAAAAATAAGTTAATTTTAAAAAAATCTACACACAAAAATAGCACAAGCGCTCCCGTGAAACCCTTCAGTCTTAATACTGATCTCAACATTTCTGTCTCTATTCTGACCAGCTGGAGTGTCAGCATGGCAGAGAGAAGAGCCATAATGTTCTCTTTCTGTATTCTAACCCAGACCTTAATACAGAATTGAAGTGGACGGATACCAGTTTTTCCCTTTCATTAGATGCCAAGTCATTATTCCAAATCTCCAGAATATTTCTCTTCAGAAAAGTAACTGCTTTTTTCAAAAAAACTGCTTTTGGAGCTTGAACAAAATCTCTATGTGTTGTTTCTCTGTACTGAATTTTTAGTTCTTTTTGGAGATGCAGCATGTTTATTGTTTACTATAAACACTCGTTTTTATAATCTATAAAGGTCATAGTGTCTCTCTTATAAGTCATTTTGGGGCTATCTTGATTTGCCAGTCTATATAGAAAGCCATATAATAGGGATACAATGAGTTGTCTTGATCGTGAGTGTTAAAATTGAAGTAATTAAGATCCCTGTGAGAAAACATGCTCTTTAGCTTTGGATTATAAACTTGGAATTATTTACTGTGGAATAAATAAGCAATAATCAAATACTTAGGATTTATTTATATGTGCCTTTTTAACAGTTATTATTTTAATGTTTTTTAATGCCATGAAAGTTGCTATCTTGTATGTACAAAAAATGTTCCATTGTTCCTTAACTTTGTTCACATACCCTCTCAGCTGCATCCGAAGTGAGCCCACACAGTTCTTCCCAAGGGTAGATTTGGGAGGTGTGCTGAAAAGTTTTCTTTCAGATTTAAAATCTAAACTGCCCCATGTGTGTGGATTTCCCATAAAAATAACAACGAAACCGTGCTACTACACACACGAACTAACTAAACCACGTATACAGGTAAGAAGTTCTGTCGGGACGCACTACACACTTGTCTTACCTGGATCTCTCGCCTTCTCTGATGGACCGCCTAACCCACCATGCTGTAATTCTTTTCTCTCGGCTCAGCATTCCCCTAATACTGTCTGCTACTATAAAGTACTTAACTGTTAGTCACTACCAGTTGTTGTTATTTATTTAACATGCTGTTGTAGTAGTACTTGTGTACTGGTCTGTTTCTTCTAATGTAGGATAAGCTCCTGGAGGCTAGAGATCATGTTCCATCTTGTTATCCTAAGTGCCTGGTACATAATAGGTGTTCATTTAATGCCTTTTCAATGAATAAGTCATCTTACAGGATAGTTTATAAACAATTTGCCTCATACAAACCCAAGTTTACTATGAATCTCTGCCACTTCATTTGAGTCTGATTGATTGAAAAAGCCTTTGAATAATTCCATCTTTAGAAATTAAATTAATTCAATAACATTTTAATTGTAAGATGATGTGCTAAGTAAAATCTTATTTGTGAAAAACCAGTAGCAGTTGAGCAATACTAATGAAGAAAATGTGGTGGCTTGTCTTCACACTCACTGGAATAAAACTTCTTTGTCAAAACAAAATTAAGAGGAAAGTTTCCAAAGAACAAATCTAAGGAAATTTAATTTAAAATTTTCCACAATATTCGTTCTTTGGAATGACAGATAATTGTGTGTTTTCGTCAAAGGAAAGTCAAAAGTTTGAGCCGTTTGAAATATAATATGAATTCTATGACTGTCTATCTCCGTGTCTGCCCAGTCCCCTTCCTTTGCCTCACTAGTGTCCTCTGAGTATTGTCTAATATAATATACTGTTTATTGTATTTATAATACTGCCCACTGCTCCAGTGGTTTTAGCTTTACACACTGTTGACTTGCAGTGGCTCACACATGACGCCTCATGGCACTTTTTTAGCTTTTGCTGCCATGCTAATTGTTTCACCCCCTTCATAATCTTCAGCTGCAACTCACCAGCCAGTACGATAGACCCCACTCATCTTTTGAGGCCAGGCCACATCATCTGTCACTGGCCAGCATGTAGGTTTGGTATCCTCGGGTGACAGGCCATCACTGTGTACACATGGTATAAAAACATGAGAGCCTGGATGCCAAGGCTGTAGGCGAGGCCACTTCCTTAGCAGGGAGCGTGGGTGAGCAGATACCAATCAACATCTTTATGAGAACGAGTCCTAAAATCTTTCCCAGATACAACATTTTTAAGAGTTTTGTGACTGGCCATGTCCAAACCTGAGAAACTTAGAAGATACCTCGTTATATCATGCATTATTATTGAATATATTTATTGAATACTGAATATTTCCAGCCCATGACTTTCAGAAACAGTGAATCCAGACAATGTACTTGTGAAATTTGCTCCTTAAATGTAAAATAACACTTACTTGGAAATTCAGGTCTTGATGTTGCTCCGACAGCTGGAGCCCTGACGATCAGAATTTCTCCTGCTCACTCTTATTGAGCGTCCTCTGTGTGCCAGCTGCTTTTTTGTGTATCATCTCATTTAACTGTCAACATAAACTCTTGGAATAAAGAATTATTCCTTAGTTTTGCAGAAGAGGAAACTGGAGCTCAGAGCATCCAAGTAATTTAACCAAAGCCATACAGTTAAATACATAGCAGAATTAGGACTGAAGCCCAGAGTCAGAATCTGAGTCCTGTAGTTGGAAAAAGTTTAGATGTGTGGTCAAGACGCCAGGCTCTAGAGACAGGCTGCCTGGATTTCGACCCCTCAGTACTTATATACTCTGGGCAAGTTATTGGATCTTCTTGTGCCTCAGTTTCCTCAGTTGTAAAGCGGGGTGCAGTAGTGGTGGTAATGACAGCCCTTGTTCCAACCTGGGCTCTCAGGGAGGCTGGCTCGGAAGCGCGTCTAATGCACGTGGTGTTTATAAGTGACTGCCCTTGGAGTCGGCACCTGCAGACAGCAAGGCAGGAGGCGGGGCTGGGTGGAGGGAGAAGCCTGAGGCAAAGCAGGGCCAGACCACCTTGGCCAGCCTTCCGAGGGACTCTGAGCTAAGACAGCCCATCACGGGCTCCGCCAGGGCCCAGAGAGCCAGGCCTTCATACCCCTGCCACCTGTCACTGGACTTGGGCCACCCTAAGGCAGTCTCGAGGGGACGACCGCCAAAGGCGGCCTGCGCCAGCACTGCCTGCAAATGGGGCAGCACATCGCCATGTCCTCACAGGGCTTCTGGTTTTCAGAGATTAGATAATACTTAGAACAAGTCCTTGTACTTGGTGAGTTCTCAGTAAGTGGCAGTTCCTATTATTGCTACATCACAAGTCAACTCGAAGATTCATGCAATGCTAAAAAGCTTAGGTTTAGAAAGTGAAAAATAAATTGATAAGATGACTTGGGAAAACTCAGCTGACTTAAACAATTTAAATTAGCCAGAGTGCTTAGCCACTTTTGTTGAACTTTACAGAAATTCTCAAAGACATAAATTAGTATCATGAACTCTCATGTGTCTCTCATCTAGTTCCTCCTTGACATATTCTTGGGTGAGGGGTAATTGGAGGATTTTAAACAAATCCCAGATACAATGTTATTTCATATGTAAAGACTTTAGTAACCATATCTGTCTCACAAGACATTTTTAAAAACTTATTTAACAGTGATTGCTTGGTATCTGATACCATATCATACCCCCAACTCCCCATTATCTCAGAGATTTTATTTTAGGGCTTTTGTGTAAATCAGAATCCAAGCAGGGGCCACATAATTCCATTCGATTATTAGGTCTCTTAAGTCTCTTTTATTCTGTAACATTCCAAACCCACACCCCTTAATTTATGCCAGTTATTTGCTGGGGAAACTGGATTTGCCCTGGAAAATATCCTGTATTCCAGATTTCACTAGAATGTGTAGAACCAGATTTTTGATAGATAAAACAGATTTGATTGGTCATTTTGGTCAATCCTTACGTTTCATTTAATCATTACCTTAATTTGAGGCCTCCATTAGATATCCATTCAGATCTAAATAGAGGTTAAAGCTTTTAGTTTCCCTGTGTAATTTCATGTTCATGTACAAAGTTATATAAATTATATGTAAACTTCTAGAAATTAAAAGTCAACTAAGCCACATTTGCCAGTGACACCTGGCAGAATAACAGATAATGTGGTAAAGCATATGTTTTTTGATGGGTTATTACTTCACAAAGCTTCAATTTGTTGAGCATTTAAGTATTCTAAGTTCTGTAAATTATTTATGATCTCATCTGCTGTATACATGGGCCCTTTTTGTAATCTTTTTATAAATTTTGAATATAAACCTAGAGGTTCCCCCTTTGGGCTACTTACTATATTTTAGAAATTGAAAGGATGAGTAAATAATATATTGACAGGCTAGGGGGTAAAAACAAGCTTTTGGAAATTATTTCCATCAGATACACATTTTGAGAGAGAGACGAAGATGAAACAGGGTGTGAATATAAACCTTTTGGGTACATATTCTAGGTAAGTTTTATGTCAGAATGCAAGTAATCTATTCTTATATGAATCTGCCTAGATGAGGTATGTCGTGTGGTTTTTGTTTTGTTTTGTTTGTATCTCAAGTAGTAGGTATGCTGTTTAAAACTTACTATGGTTTATGAAATCCAAGAGTCCAAAAAAGTTCTTTGATTTTCTATAATTGATTTCAGCTTAGTTGTTGAGCCCTTTTTTCATCGAATGGAAAAAAAATTTATTCTAGACACTTTTAAGATGACTCAGTCACTTCTGACAAAACATCTCTTTGAGGTAGAACTTCAAATTTAAGAATTGTTCTTCTCCCCGTGATATCATCTGTGTGCAGGGGAAAGTCTATGTAGGGTGAGGGCAGTGGTGGGCGAAGTGCGTTTGGTGTGTTTGCCTAATATGGGTCACATCAGGAGAATGAATGCCCCAAGCTCTGTTTCCGGACACCTGCAAAGCTGGTGAGTGGACACTTGAGCCTCTGCTAACTCTGCAGTTAAATAATCAGAGGCATTCATAATTAAACTTTTCAGCAGAAACTGCAGGAGTCACTTCTTCCTTTCAAATGTTGTATGAGTTCATTGGTTGGTTGATCCTAAATCACATCCTGAACGCTAGCTGCAAAGGAGGAAATGTCCAGTTTAGATTCCCGGGATCTAGAAGGAACAGTAAGTCAAGGGCGTGATGGCTGTTAAGCACAGCCCACTGTCATAGTGACAGCTGCATGGTGGAGGGGATTCGAGAAAAAAAGAAATAGAAGACAGCAGCAAGAGCACTTGGAGGACAGTGGGGAGCAATTACAGTTTTTACAGTTGATTTAGATAGAATTTAGAACATACCTTCATCTTAAAATATCATCTTGAAAGGATAGTACCTAAAGAAGGATACAAACTATAAGAAATGTGCACATTTCCTCGAGAATGCACATTTGTTTTCTGTTTTTATTTACCTATTTTATATATTGTAGTGTTACTTTATGTTCTTATTTTGATGCTATTTTATATCATTTTCTTTTCCATTAACGACATTATTACATTTTTAAAAATTTCCTCATCTCTCCTTTCAGGAAAAAGTCAAGCCACCCAATCTGACCTCTAAACAAACATTCCAGTCCTCTCTGACTCAGGCCCCTTCCAGGAAACCCTTGCTGTCTCAGCATGTCCCACCATGTTCAGTGGCCATGGACCACAAGGTGGCGCTTCCGGTCAGCCAGCGGAAGCCCTGCGTGTCCTCAGCTCTGTACCTCCAGCCAGAATCTGTTCAGAGCAGAAAGAAGTCCCTGTCTGACAAGGCACCACGAGTACATGTGGAAGTACGAAAGCCCAGCAGAGGAAATCCTCAAGTTCAAGAAACAGATTTTAGCTCCCAAAGTAATATCACCCCTAAACTCATACCAGTTTTCAAAAATCGATCATTACAGATGAACAGAAATGCCTTAGAACCTGGCAACATGAATAGAAAAGAACATGTTACAGAATCTAAGTTGTTTTCACTTAAAACCAGTGTGATCCAGGATGACAAACTGAATTTAGAACCAGCTATAAAAAAAATACCTAATCGTCACACTCACATGAATGCTAGACATTTAAACCCAAAGACTTCTAGACCTCTGCAAGAAAAAAATACTGATTCCTATAAAAATATGACAATACATCCCCCTTCTAGTGGAAAAGCATCAACTGCGAGTATAAAGGGAAGTAAACAACTATCTCACAGTTCAGGATTTCAGATGTCAAATAACAACTTAGGTGTAATAAAGAGTGCCGCTGACTTTCAAGTGAATGGAAAAGAAAACTTAACAAGCAAATATATAACACAAATTTTAGGGAAAGGACACGAGTCACTAAAAGTGAAAAGACAACCATACATTTTTGAATCAGACACAGAAATGGAAAATGTCCAACTACTACAGCATCAATCAGTAAATCAAATTAAAGAAACTGATGTGAATGACCAAAGACTGATAGTAAGCAGAACAGCTCACAGGTCTAAAACAAAATTATGTCAGGAATCTTCAAAAACTTCAAAGAAGCCTCATTCCAGTAACATCCATTATGGACAATCCAGTTCTTCTCGGAACCAGGTAAAACAAAACAAAACATTTTTAATCTGAGGCTATTTATCATATGATAGACCTTTAAGGCCCCTAAATAAAGATTTAAAGGATCTGCCCAAGATCATCTAGAAACACATTAAGAAACAATATCTGCCCTGACACAGTAACTACAAGTATATATAGTTAATTTATTAAAAATGTGATTCTTTAATCTGATTACAGATGCATGACTTGGACAAATCAAAACCTAAGAAATCTGTCATCATTCCTAAAGCTTACAAACATGACTGCGAAAGCAGGAAACACCCATCAGGTAACTTAGGGGGTATCTTGTGATTTATTTTTTCATTACGTTATCTGAATTGGAATTGCCAAGTTTAGAGATCTCAAACCTCTTGATAAGGAGTTACTTTTAAATCCCTTGCAGCTTTAAAATCAGCAAGGAAATAGGAAATGTTGGGAACAGTACAACCCTTGAATAAGGACAGCACACAGCAACTGTGACATCGAGCAAAGACCCCAAAGATGGGCGAGGTGGAGAGGTCCCACTGCTGGCTACCCCCACCCTCTGACCTGGGGTCTTTGCAGACTAAGAGGGCACACAGCCGCAGACTGCCTAGAGACAGGTTCCACAGCCACTAGAAACGTGCCTTTAGGAACTTGCACCTGAGATAGTTACTTAAAATGATGTTTCAAAGATTAATCTTTAAGTTAAAATTTACTCCAAAGATGTTGCGGTGCTGACCCAAGTTAGGCTTGAGGTTTTGCTGATACCCTGAGTCCACAGCACTGAAGTCACAGAACCACACATCTGGAAATTACATTTTATTTCATTCTGCCATCTGTTCTAGTCTAGGAACAAGCATATTACTAAAACATCCACTCTTTTTTTTGCCCAGAACTATTGGAATACTTTGAATTCAGATTCTTTATGAGCAAACTAGAAAAAATTTCTCCTTTCCTCTTCCAAATGCTATTTCTTTCTATAATTAATAGAATTTTCAGCCTGATTTGAGTTAGCCAAAAGGTACGTAAGTCTATTCCTGTATATTTTATGTGTCATGTCGTTTTTGACATCTTAACATTTTATGTACTCAGTAGGTGGTTAAGAAAAAACTGCTAGAATGCCTTAAAATTTTTAATTTTTTAAAATCTATTCCAAATTTCATAATTTTTTAGATGTATAGTACTTTCCCGCTTTGAATTACTTAAGACCTAAAAATAAGAAATCATTCCCATTACCTAGAAAGAATGACATGAGAAAAATTATAGGATATCATTATAGAAACTATTCTCCTTAAATATAAAATTAATATAAAGCCCTGTAAAAATTTTGAGAAATACAAAACAGTTTGAAGAAAGAAGTTTTACAAACCACCTGTAATTCCTCTTTGCAGAGATCAGCACCCTGAACAGCGGACAGACGCTGACGCCCATGCCTGTGACCATGGGCTTCAGCCCATATGCTGCTGCGGGCCCCCCTTGCCACTCGGCAGCTGTGTTTCCATGGCTGCATGTGTGGTCCACTGCACGTGACAGTGCTGGATTCACCTGTTCCTACTGACTGACACATAAGTTCTTCCCAACTTTTCGCTCTGATAACAATGTCATGTAAATAGTCTTATACACATCTTTGCAAAATATCCAATTCATAGTAGTTTTGTTGAAACTATCTTTATTTTGCCCTTGCTATTTTTATTATTGAAATTTAGTTGAACTCATTTTTATTACTGAAATTTTCCAACCACACAAAGTGCAGATAACAGTATAAAGAACCTCTAAGTACCTGTCATCCAGATTCAACCATTATTAATATTTTGTCACTCAGTTTCATCTATTTCTCACAGGTTCACTTTTTACTGTACTATTTTAAAGTAAATTTAATACAGCATGTAATTTCACCCATAAAAGAAAAAAATAATATCTATAAATACATTACATTTTGGGGGTATCTACCATATCTTTATTGACTTACTAAATTTGACTTTAACACACAAAGTAACAGGAAGCCCTCAATAAACATAAAACCTATTTCAAAGACGAACTACAGCCTTCAGTCACATAACCAAAATATTGGAGTGGAGATTTATTTGTTCAAACCTATTTATTAAAGCATATGCATGTACCAGGCAGTGGGTGAAGCTTTGGGTTACTGAAATGACAAGGTTGCCATTGGCTGTGTAGTCTGGTCTCCAGCACATCCATTCTGGGCTCCTGGCAAAGATGTAGGAACATCCATGCATTGAAGCAAACATCAAGAATGACCATTTGGTTCATACTACAAATAAATTATCTAACGTGCATGAAGAGAGAGACAGAGCGCCTCACTAGTATTATTCTGGCTTTCAAACATTATAGATGTTTAATTTGCAAAATGTGATATAATTGTTTTGGTAAGATATTTAACAGAAGCCAAAAATCCTCGTTAACATCCCTTCATTAAATTAAAAAAAAAATCAGAGAGCCAAGTATAAGTTGAACTTTGATTTTTTAATGTGATTTACCATTTTTGCTCTTTCACTAAACCATTGCAATCAAAGGCAAAAGTGAACATGAACTCTGCTTCAAAACTGTTACCATAATTCTTACTCTTGAAATGGTGCCTGGTTCATTACTATAATATACCTTCACTATGTACCTATACTAATTTACTGTATACCTTTAATGCAAGCATTTCTGCTTTCTAGAATTCTCATTTTACAATTATTTAACCATTTTCATAGGGAGATAGTCTAGTTTAAAGCCCATTTTGAGTGTGCCTTTCTCATTCTAAAACTGATATGATAGATACTTAGCAGACTGCTTTAAAGAATGGTACGCCGTCTTGCTTTTGAGGCTGTGGTGAAAACATCTGTTTATAGAAGTGCAGTAATAAGTATATATGTCTGGTCACTCAGTCCTGCACAGCATATGCTCATTCTCGAAACCAGTCTTCCTCGCTGCTCCGCCCATGTGTCCCCTGCCTGCCTACCCGCTACTGTCCAGTCATCATGCCTTAGCTAATGGAGGCGTCCATTGTTATTACACTAAGCAGAGGAATTAACAGACAAACCCACTGCTTAAGTAGTGTGTGGTGTCTTCCAGTTGTTTATGGAAATAATCTTCATAGCTCCTCCACTCCATCAGTGTCTGAAACTTAGAATTTATGGAATAGAATTTCATTTAGATAAATGCCAACCTACATGGCAAAGCCTGCTTGTCTTAGGACCAGTCTGTCTTCTGGTGTAAAAGTAGGTTTATTTTTCATCTTTTGATATTTATCCTAGTGAAAGTTTACCCCCCAAATAAATAAATAAATAAATAAATAAATAAATAAATAAACACACACACACACACATATGTATATGTATAATATGTATGATTTACTGTAGAGCTACATGGATGGGTTAATTGATTGTTTGTATACTATCCATGTTCAGAAAAGAGGTTCTAGACCAAATTGCTCTGCTCAGATTCACTGGAGAAATCAAGGAAGATTTTGGTTCATTTTAAAACTTACAATTTTGAAAGCCAGAATAATTACAAATCCTTATTTAGATAAGGACAACAAATTGCATTTCCTTGTTTACATGTTTTATTATTTACATAAATTATGGACACTCCCCTGCCCCCAAATCATTCTTCACATTCTGACTATGTTAATTTTATTACCATTATAATTTTTAAGCCATAAATAACTCCAGAATCTTAGAAGATCAGCCGCTGCATTTATTTTATTTTATTATTTTATTTTAAAACTTTTTGGGGTTTTTTGTTATTAATTTCTAGTCAGATAATATTATATCCCATACTTTTTTTTACATTTTTAATTATCTTAGTGTTTTTTTAGTTAAACTTATTGGGGTGACAGTTGTTAGCAAAGTTACATAGGTTTCAGGTGTAGAATTCCGTAATACATCATCTATACGTTACATTGTGTGTTCACCACCCAGAGTCAGGTCTCCTTCTGTCACCATATATTTGACTTCATTTTCCCTCTTCTACCATCCCCTTCCCCCTCTTAATAAGCCAGACAGAAAACGTCAAGAACCATATGATTTCACTGATATGTGGTATATAAAACTGAAAGCAACAAAAGAACAAGACAAATGAAGAAACAAACCCATAGACACAGCCACTGACATTTATAAACCTATGGCATTATGCCAAATTTGTGTGTGTGGCATAGCAGGTTTTTATATTATCATTGTGTATCTCTTCTGCAACATGCCAAAATTAATACTAAGCAGCATCTTAATAGAAAAGTAAAAATGCTTTCGTGTACTATTCAAATTTTAAATTTCACAGTATTTGTTGCTTACTGTATTTGTATTTTTATTTATATTTTATATATTATAATTATACATTCTATATTATTTTATTTATGTGTTGCTTACTGTAGCAAATAGGTAAAAAATATGGATTTGTCAATGGTGAGGTTTTATTTGACTAACCAGTTTGCTAACCAGATTTTGTGCTTTTTTAAATTGCTCATCGTCTGTTGTTATGCTGGAACTGACAATATATTGGGTATTTACTGATATTTAAGAATGGTCAGTATTTATAAATGTTTAAAGATGTCATGGTCATTATTTATTGATGCCTAAATTGTTTGCATTGTATCCAACATAGTATCTTATTTTAAATAAAAATATAAAGGCATTTCAAGTAGAAGTACTTTTCATATGTCAGAGTGACTGTATTTAGGAATGGAAAGGCTTAGATAAATTACAGTTTTTACCTCTGTGGTTCCATGTCTTCACGTGCATTAGCTGCTGGAACTGTGGTGTGTGCTAGGTGAGGTATTCACCACTTCACAGAGCTTTTATTTGCAAATGTCCTTCATTCTTTCATTCAACAGATACTTACTTAGCACCTGCTTTGTGCCAGGCACTATTGTAGATGCCTGTGGTTTACAGGGCACACTGATCTTTCATTCTAGTGGAGAGTCAGACAAAGAAGAAAACATACATATATAGTGTATTAGAAAGTGACAAGTATAGGAAGATAGAGTAAAGTAAGGGAGATGGTTAAGGTGGGCTCCTTGGGTAACGGCATAAAGCGATGAGTGAGTTAGCCACGTGGCCCTCGGAAGGATGAACTCTCTGGGCATAAGGAACAGGCTGTGTTTTCAAGAGCCATCAGGGAGCCCAGAGCGACTAAAGTAAAATGAGCCAGACTAGGAGCAACACTTGGTCACACTGGGCCTGTGGGCCACGGCAGGGACACTTACGGTGACACTGAGGGGAATGGGGTTGGGACCAGAGGGTGACAGGGTCCGACTTAGGTTTCATCAGGCTCATTCTGACTGTCGTGTTGAGAATAGACCAGGGGTGGAGGGGAGTGCGAGCACGTGGAGACCAGCTGAGAGGCCATTGCTGGAAACCAGGCGAAGATGGAAGAGGCTGGACCCGCTGTGGTGGTTGGTGATAGGGAGACAGGAAGTGGCTGATTCGGGGTATATCGGGAAGGGGGGCGTCCACCGGCTCAGCGAGCTGGGAGAAGGAGCAGTGTTGAGGGTGACTCCAAGGTGTTCGGCTTCATCACATGGGAGCATGGACTTGTTACCAACTAGATGAGGAGTAGGCTTTGGATTCAGAGGAGGACTGAGACTCGACCCCGGGGTGTCACATGAGGGGTGATTGAAGACCCCGAGAGAAGGTTCCTTGGAATGATGAAGCGAAAGCCTGACGGGGCTCGGCGGGTGGGGTGAAGCTCACGAGTGTAGACAGCTCTTTTGAGAAGGGTCATCAGTGGGATTTTCTAGATCCTTCTTTTCTTTTTTTTTTTTAAGATTTTTTTTTTATTTTTTGGGGGGAATTGGGGGGATGGGAACAGTGCTGGGGAATTGGGGAAAGGGGAACAGACAAGTTGCTGTCGTTTTGTTCTTCAATCTAGTTGTGGAGGATGTTGCTTCTCTGGCCCAAGTTGGCACCATCATTGCTCTCTTCTCTGGCAAGGCAGATCAGTCGCCGGCTTCTGGACGGCTGCTCACTGCGGCTGCTGGCCGCTCACGCTGGCTGCTGGCTACACACGGTAGCCCATGGCAACTCACTGCCACAGGGAGTGCAGCCTACGCCGTCGCCGGCGACTCATGGCAGCCCAGCTCCAGGGAGTCGCCCAGCTCCAGGTTGAGCTGTTGTTCAGCATCTTAGCTGTAGAGGGCAGTGTCACTGGCCCTCATATGTGGGATCCGAACCGGGGCCCTCTGGCATCCCAAGCGAATTCTTAACCATCGCGCCACTCGGCCGGCCCACTAGATCCTTCTTTTCAGTTGCCCCTCAACACTATTGCCCCCTGGTCACCCCCTTCTTGAAACACTGCACGGCCTCTACAGCCGCACATCTTTGCACACAATTGCTGTTTCCTTGACTGATGGGCATGGAGGGGCACCAAGGACCGTGACAGCTGACAGTGGTTGCACCAGACATATTTGGGGCACAGGAGCAGTGGAAAGAAAGGTGTTCCAAAGAGAAGGAAACATGAGCAAAGCGTGAAGAGGCATGCCGACAGAACAAAGACCCGGCCTCCGGACACTGCCTCCAGCACCCTCTCTGCGAAGACGCGTTGATTCGCCTTTCCAAGGACTCTAATGTGTGATATGAAGGAAGGATTTACAAGACATAGTTGACACGATGACGTGTATGAGTATTGGTCATCCCTGTACACATACAACGCCTTCAAATTGTGAGTTCTCAAGTCTCTCCGCTACTGCTCCCACATAAATGTGGTCCCTTTAGGGACAGTCCCCATTTCACCCAGGAATCTCAAGGTAGAGAGTGAGGGTTTGGGGGTGGTTTGTGGAGCGTCTGCATTTGAAAAAGCCCTTCAAGAGCTGAGGGGAGGGGTGTTCCTTCCCTGCCCCTGTCTCCTTGAGCACCACTCTTAAGTGGAGGTCTCCCCAGTTTACGGCACTGAGAAGGATGTGAGAGGCCAATGTAAATTCTCATTTACATTGACATTTACATCTCAGAGGAGGCCTGTAAATTACATTTACATCTCAGAGGAGGCCTGTCCTCTGAGATGGTGATCAAGGCTGCCGGAGTCTACCTGGCGTTAACGCATGTCCCCTGCTGACCGTACCCAGGCCGCGCAGTTGCTTTGGAGACGGAGCAGCCACCGGGCTGGCAGAGGCCTCTGTGCCCCCTTGCCGCCCGTGTCATCTCCCACCTCACAAGGTCCCCGTGAAGCTGGGCGCGCTTGTCAGCACCCAGAATAAATGGCAGTTAGATCATGACCTAGACTTCCACGGCATATCTATAAAACAAAGAACTTTTATAAAACCCAGCAAGCTCGGTATTTCCCAGAGCAATAAATTTGGCCGGCCTTTTTCCTCCTAGTAAGCCACACTATATATGGGGCTGCTGAGATGAGACAAAGGAAAGTATTTTTAGTCGCTTCTCTTTATCCAGATTTACCCCATTTCATTACTTTGCTGCCTACTATTGCTTTGTGGTCCCTCAGGAAATAACTAGATGAAATTGAGAATGAAAACAACATAAAATAGGATATTCAATACCCCAGGTTGCATATGCCCAGTCGGGTCCCACAATGATTAAATTTAGCTCTGCTTAACCTGATTTCAAGTGCAGTTCAACTCGGGGGGGGGCTATGAAACAGAGTGCTTGTTGTGCATGATCAGAGAATATTTATATGGCAGCATATGGCTTTGCGTTTCCCTGCCATCCAGGAGCGTTAACACGCACCAGGCAGGCCCTCCTTTGACAATCACTGAAGGCTGTGTGTGGACTAGCAACTCCACAAAGATTTTATTTGGCCAAGGAGAGCATTAGACCAGCTTTTCCCCCCTCCCCCTTTCTCTCCCTGTAGCACCTCTGCCTGGTGGGTATAGTTCCATCTGGATGTTTGGGAACCATGACATTTCTGATAGGCAGCTCCGTTTAGACTCAATCTTCCCAAACTTTTCAACTTTGAATGTATTGTCTCCTTGTTTGGACAGAGCCCCAATGCGTAGAGCATCTGTGTAAGTCAAAAGAAAGAACTTTCAGACATTTAAAGTTGATTATACAGCAAGGCTGCGTAATTTCTTCCTGGGGAAAGGGAGAGTAGAATTTCCAAATCGAATTGGTCCATTTTGCCTGGACTGGTTTTAATTAACCAGCAATTCTGCTGGAAAGCATGGAGATAGACCAGATATCCTTTCAAGGTTCCTTCAGACCTTCCTGCTCTTTGCTGAACTACAGAATGTAAGAACAGAAAGAGATCTTGGTCAGCGAGTCCATTTCCTTCGCTTCACAGTGAGGGACCCAAGGCTCATGGAGTAAATGCATTTCACATTCGGATTGTAATTACGAGGGAAAAAATAATCAGGTTGCTTTGTAGGCCCCTCTTGCTCTTCAAAATACCTTTTTGTGAAACATGAATTCAGATGCGTTTATAAAGGATCTACAAGAGGTGTAAAGGATAAAATGAAACAGACCTTACGCTGCCATCGGGGGTCGCTCCAGAAGCTCCCCAAGCGCCTTCCTGCCTCCACAGAAGTGAGCACTTGAATGCTGTTAATCTTTCTTGTGTTTTCGTCATGGTTTTGCCACCCCTGCACAGGCACGTCCCTACACAACAGCCCTGAACATAAAGTGTATAAAGCGACTCAGCATCACGGTTTCTCCGGGACTCGTCTCTCTCCATCAGCATCACGTTTTCAGGTTCAACCATGTGGATGCCCCAGGCGTCGCTGATTCGTTGTCCTTTCCAGATTCATCCCACTGTGTGAGGAGACCACACGGCAGTCGTTCTGCTAGGGGTGGACTTTCGCGTTGTTGTTTATTTGTCTCGATTTGCTCCGGGCGATGTGCGCATGTGTGAGTTTCTCAGACTCGAGAGTGGACGTGTGAAGAGAGAGCCAGTGCTGAACTGGAGA